TGAAGTTCAGACGTGGAGATAAAATTTATACGCGGATGAAACGATTTATTACGAAAGCGTTGAGTAGGTGCTTAAAATTAATTACGCCAAGTTTTGCTTTCGTTTTGTCCCATTGTGTCGCGATTTTCCCCGTCTTGTTCGAGTATCGCAGGTTTTTATTAGAAGGGGCTTCGCTGGATATTTATGACAACTTCGCGATTTTTTCTGTTTTATTGCTGTGGAATTTTCCGTTTGATAAATGTGTTCGTAAGTAAGAGATAAAGTCGATGCCGCTTAAGCGTTGAAATAAGTTGATAGTATATTTTTACTTATTTGAACCATTGTTGAAATGACTTTTCAACAAGCAAGCAAGAAAAGTTAACTTCATGAAACATATACTATTACTGATTTCTAATTAAGTGTTTTTTTTTTGGTTACCTAACTATACTTAGATACTTACTCGACGTTACATGCCAAATTTGTTAACTTATTATATATATTTATAATAACAGATATTGTTTATTTATTTTAATAACGTTTGTGAGAGACAGAGAAATTGATAACAATATTTTGTCAAAGAATAGCCTTTCAATTAGCACAAGCTGAGCAAACATTTATTGAACTCTAAACAAATATTTCAAATATCATCTCTTGCATCATTACTATCATATTTGTTCTTGGTTCTCTCGCACATAACCCGCACCATAATCCGAGACAGAATTACCGCCAACTACCGTACACCCTTTAACATGTACCTACGTACCCGATCAACCCGCTCAACGCGAAGTTGCGCCTGAAGGAGGTCTTCATTACCGCGAATGGCTGCCGCATTGTCACATGAAAACGTTTCGTGTGACGGCTCAGATTGTGGTTTACGATGGTTGTTGCCTGGTCCAGAAATAAACTGGTCGATTACACTAATAAGGTATTTATTATAGGACGAAACAAAATTATTAATACCGGAAAATACTTTTATCTTCGAAACCATTTCTTTGTGATTGTGAAAAGTAATTATTAAGTCTTCTTTTTCACATTTTAAGACAAAACAAAATCTGTATAATCGATTTTTAAATGTTAAATTGAATTTAGAATTTTTTATGACCCTACTCAGCAAACTTTAGAAAATGCGTTGCATAGTCCACGGAGAAAGTCAGATCAAGAAAGCGGCAGTATTCGTTTTAATTATCTGTTTTTTCCTAATCCATATGTATTATGTAGGCATCTAACGGATGTATAGAGGATTCAGATTCCATCCGGATGTACAACAATACAATACGAAAACTTGTCCAATTCCTTCAGAGCAGTAAATTGTCAATGAAGAGCTAGTCCTGCCACGCCTTTCAGAGAGGGTAATTAGCGTCCCTTGCGATCACCCCGTGATTGGCCGATTCGGCAGAGATCAAAGGCCGAAGGGTGTCACTCAGCAAATGGAATATTTTACCAGCCACGTTTGAAGTCCGATACGTTTTACGACAAGCCCTTTCGAGGGACTCGATGTTGTTGGCGCGAAACCAATTTAATTCCAGATTTGGATTGCTCATGTTAATTCCAAGACTGTACGTATATGCACAAGTTACTCTTACATACGTTGTTGCAATAGTACGCAACTATGTGATTCCACTAATGTATATAAAGTCATATAAGACACACACAGTGTGTACATTATTCTTGCAGCAGTTAGCAGAGTAAACTGCTTTTAAGAATAAGTGTTCAATGCCGCGGTATCTTACGAACATCATAAATACAATTTAACCTCCACCATAAAGCTTTAAACAATATCTAAACGGCACGTGCAAAGTTTTCTCGAAGAAAAGAGTAAAATATTTACACAAGCAGCTATAAGGCTATAAGAAAGGCGTCTCGGGGTGTAAACAACCCTTTAAAATAGTGTGCCGTTACGAGGGTGGAACCGGGGGGAGACCACCCATAGCTAAATATCTTTTAGTATCTGCAAAACGTCTAATTTACTAGCGAGGCTTTGATGTTGTTTCAGAGACTAAGGGTGGTGTGGAGACGCCTTGTCGTTTAAATATTTCATCCTTCAGTTCTACTCTTTATGTGTAAATTTAGTACGAGACACAAACCAACCTCGACAGCTATTAGGTATATCCTAAAGACAGAAGAGAGAAAGTCTAAAATGTAACCTTTTATGAGTGCGTGGGTACGAGTCCCAATAAATATTGAGCTACTACTAACCACATTCAGCTTCATGAAAAATGAACAACAACTATTCTACAATTCTTACCACATCACACGGCATCTCCACAGATTCCCCAAGGTCCGTGTATCGGGTCGGTCTCGTCCCTCATTTACTTACCCGTTGTCACCATCCTTCGATTGCTATCACCATCGCCGGTCGGCATTATGTAATCACTCCCTGCGCGTGGAGCTGTGACGACTGCTGATTGCCACCACTCTGCTGGAAAGGTGTAAAACAACCGCGTTGCTAGGGATTTTCCGTTACACTTTCTTGAAAATCAGATTTTGGACTGTAACGACCCGAAGTTTGGTGTCGTTCTGTACGTGAAACAAGAAATGAGTGCACCAGTGAATACTTACTATGTGCCTTAGCTGAAAGGTGCATTTTTTTGTGTAGACATACGATTTTTAGTTGTTTGTTAGAAGTGAGCAAAAAGGTTACAAGACACTGCCCAAAGTTTAGACTTGCTCACTAAACACTGCAACTACCCGATTTAATTACACGTTGAAGAATCCGACGGTAACTTAGACAATCGATATGAAAACAAAAATTAAGCAATTCTCACCCTTAATAATAATCTGGTCTGACTGACATTAGAAAAGATACTTTTTGGAAGCCATTTAGCTGATGCTAAATATGAAAAAAATGTATTTGATATGAAAATGGAAATACTATTTTTATTTCATATGCTCAGTTTCTGAAAAACGTTACATTTGAAATTTACTATTAGGGATACGAATTGCTCTTGGCGTCCGAGTACTTTGAAGCTCGCGAATTGCAAATATGAATCAAAATTTATCTCGTTTGCCTAGGTATCGCCATCAGATTCTCGACTATCAACGTCCGTGTCATGTCGCTCGTCCCACACGTCCGCTGGCCCGCTGTCTAACCGTCGCAATGGCCCGATGTCCCGCCGGTTGCGCCGCGCTACAGGATGTGTTAGCTATACTGAGGCCATTAAGCCGCGCGACTCGCGTGCCCTCACACTCCTGCAGGATGAGCCACGAATCGATGATTTATTGCCGCATACCAATAATGCTGTGCGAGTGACGAAAAGAAGTTAAGGTTTAATGAAAGCTGGCGATCAGAAATTGACAACGTAAAATGATAAAAGACCGTATCTATATATACGTAACTCGAAATCGGACTAAGACGTAGAACATAAAATTAACTAAATCTCAAAATAAGTCTCAATAATCTTAGAGCTTATTCTGCAGTATTATGAATAGACACTTTTTAAACAAACATGTATTATCGTTAGTAATATGGTCTTGTTTTGCTATTACAAAAAAAAATCAAATACGTTTATGAAACCAATATTTCATACGATTTTTTGTATACAAAATTTGCAATTTTAATCTCATGATTACCACCGCAAAGAACATTAAAGATGAAGAATTCTAACCTCATTGCAAAACCAAGGACATTCGCGTTTATTCACGACGCACACTGCCACAGAAACAGTTTAATGCAGTACCAAAGAGAGCAATAAATAGCAATTCGGCTGGGACCAGCCTCTAGTCAGTCAAGACCTGAGACGCGTCGACAGACAGCTGATGGCTAAGATCAATTCAGCCACTGCGACGGGTTCGTGTCTCGCTGCATATACCACGATCACGTCAATGAAGTTACTCTAGAGGACTGACTATACTTTTCTTTTCTATGGAAACAGGCACTTGCATTTGGAATAACAACTAGACTGTATATTTACTTATTAACTACTTGAAATGCTAGGTTTATGATGTTCAATAAACGAAAGAGAAATGTTATTAGCCAAAGTCAAGGTCAAAAAATAAGAAGAATGGGCAAGAAACTCTAGGGGTTGCTCTTTGTAAATATACAGTTGAATACATTTATCATTACAATATTTAATTTAAACATCTTGGATCGAGACTACCTGCAAGAGCTAAACGGGATACTACCACGAATTTTTGTCATCCAAGTACGCAGAGGATGTATAACTTTTAATAAAGTTTTTGTTTCACCATAGTTTTAAACCTCGTAAATGGCAAATTTTGAATATCAATCGGAATCTTATTATAGAAGCGTATACATTGCCCCTTAAATTAATTTAATAATAATAACGCACACACTCAACATAGCCCCGCACTAGGGAAACCCTGTGCCGCGGGTGCCACGGACACATACATAGCCAACCACAAATTACACCCAAACTCACGAGAGAAATAAGTGTAGGCCATACAAATATTTCTCCCGACCCGGGAATCGAACCTGGGACCTCTGCGTTGCAGTCCGGCATGGTAACCGTTCGGCCACAGAGGCAGTTTTAGAATTATACAGTGCTAGAACTAATATAAAGTCTTTTGAAACAATGGTAATAGAGACTGTGTCAATAGAACACACAACGTGATTCAATCAGGCGGAAAAGTCTGTAGACGCTTTTACCTCTTAATTTTACTTTTTGGATACAATGTTCTATATTTAAGTGATGTTCTTGCTCCCAAAAATGTTTTCTAACTCTACATCCAAAGTGCTTTTATTTGTGTACGACTCAATAAATTCCTAACCCGGGAGCTGGCAGTTGAAAAACCGGAGACATTGTGTACAGGCTGGTAGGTTGGCTTGGCGCTCGGCGCTCGGCAGCCAACTCTTTTTGCCTCTCGCTTTATTGGTATCGGTGACTAACAGGAAAACTGATGTTTCTTTTTGCTATTCTACTTAGGTTGCAGTCGGGTAACATAGTCCAGTAGATAGGCAATATTATAAAAAAATTGTATAACTTGTCTATATTTTTCAAAAGAATGCTTAGTCTTTGTAATAGGAATTGTTGTTTAAACTGAAATATTTTGCTTCTTTACAGTTGTGTCGCCATCAAAAACTTCCATGGTCATCTTTGGACAACTCTATCATTGAAGGTCATCTCAAGACATCGTAATCAATTATTCTAGTAAGTATATTAACGCAATCTAATGTACATTAAAGAGTATATACATTAAAAAGCTCACTAGCTCTTTAGTGTAACAACTTTTCTTATAAACACCTAACGGAATAAAGACGTTTAATTAAGCAAACGGGAAACAAATAAACCGTATATCACGTCCCCAGAGCTCATTAACAAAATATAATTGAAATTCCCGAGATTAAGCGACATCTCTGACTAAAAGCAACTCGGTGTTCGCGGGCGCACGGGGAGGCGCGCGGCGGGCGCGGGGGCTGTGATTAACGCACTCTACATACGGGCCTACTGTACTGTTTGACCAGTACCCACCTCTAGCTGTGCATAACCCAAAAAATAGGTCATTTACACATTTCTGTAACCTATCGTTGGAGCAGCTAAGTGAGTGAGTAAGAGATGTAAGTAAAATTAGTTTTTTGCCTTCCATTGTTATGTGTAACAGTTTTTCATGAGCATTTCATTCATCCACTATTGAAAGAGCTTTTGTTTTCATTCAACTAGAAGCCAGCTTAGACATTAACCACAATGTTATCTGACGTAGTCAGCAGTGAAGTATGGTAGATAAATATAACTAGGTACCAAAGTTGTGTTGGGTCGTGCGTATAGTTTGCAGTGTAGCTTGCGCCGGCGCATGTTTCAGTTAATTAGCGGTCGGACACGCGGCGTTCACACTCTCCTCCCTAAAAGGAGATCTCAGTTAGCGCCCTCAATAGTCGCCTGCGCGTGTTACTGCCTGTTTATTTTGTTAATTCGCCACTCTGACCGCACACTGCGTTTGTACTCGAACGTGATGTTAAGACATACAAAGAAAACAAGTTTCACTCTTTTTTATAAATAAGAAAACATCAAGTTCAAAAATATTTGTTGTATCGAGGAAAGCCATCGAAATAACATCGTCTACTTCAGCTGCAGACCAATCTTACTAATGACTGCAACAGTTCTTTAGAGATTACATATTATGGGAGTTAGTCGCACGACAGTCTTCAGTTTTTATTAATACTTTCTGTTCATGATATCAACTGAAAATTTATTCCAGCAAGTGATTTTTACAGCTTTTCAACCCATTGGAATGTAGAAGCGAAATCTTACAAAGTTTTACTATATACATTTTAAAGTTTATATTATTAGCTGATAACCAAACTAAATGGATATGAATCGACACTAGCTCATTGAATATTCTGTACCTCTACTCGAGTTTTCACTTATTACGGTATATCAGGTGTATATAACAACTTAAAAGAATGAACGGAACAACTCGTGATCTCCGTTCTGCAAAAATCAACTATAGAAATGAAAATTTATTAATACTTTATAATATTTATTTTTCGATATCAGCCATTAAGAAGTCATGGTTTCACAATAATGAGCTGCCAGCACATTTATCTTTTAAATAACTTTAATGCAAACACGTTATATAACAGCAAATATTTAAACAAAAACATGCTATGGCAGCAATGGCACAAAAAAGTTGGCAAATACACAATGCCGCGAAGTCCGCGCAGTATTACTTCATTCCGTGCGCCCGCGCAATACGGGAGCTGCTGCAGCCACATGTAGGAAAGAAGGTTATTGATTTTATAGAGGAGTCGAGATGATTTTGATGAGAACATTTTGTATGTCGATAAATTCTGCCAAATTCTGCCTTACTAATAATATAAGTTAGAGATTGTCCTTTAAAATGCCACTGCTAGATATTGACTTTTCTAGAAAAGTAGACTTTGTCTTAAAGGCTATGCTTGGTTGGGGGTCAAAGCACTTGCAATACTGTACTTATAGTTCCTTTCAATCCATTCTACATTAAAGGTAATCAAACAGGTCATTGGCCCGTCCATATACAGTTTAGGATGGCCAATTGTACTGCCGACTATAAATCAATCAATTGAATGATTCGATTTGTTTAATTGAATCATTTGGAGAAATAGTTCTTTTTGCGATTTTGCTGCCGCAGCATTATGCATTTGAAAAGCTAAGTTTCCAATTTGAAAAGTTAAGATCAGTTAAAGTTAGCAAATTAAAGCAATTCCTCCTCTCGGTGGATGATAGTTGTATTGTTACAAACATACTACATCAAACTAATGAATAATGTTTAATTTATGATGTCACGACGTGCGTGTTGTGACTTTCAATCCTCCTTGAAATCATTATATTTAGGTACATGATTGTTCGATTGTGACTGAAATTTTTGGTACTACTATAATACTACTACATACTACTATAATTTTGGTCAACTATAATTCATTATTAAGTTGTATTGTGCTGAGAAATAAATATATGCATAATCTAACAACTTAATATTAATAGATTGAATTTCCGAATTTGAGAGGCGGTATTCCCCGACGATGGCACAGTCAGTCGGGGTCAGTTATTATTATTATTCCTTTCATTTCCTTTTAAATAAACGTTAAGCTAAGCTAAAGGTGAAAACACCATGTAAACAAAACAGACGAATTGTAACTCAGTATCCTACAAACGAATTCCGTGGTCAAGGATGCTACACAAAAACGAAGCATGAGTCCGGCTACCGTTGGCGAAATAATAAGATCGCAACAAAATAAAGAAGCGCCGAGACAAAAGCGGGGCTCGCGAAATAAGGCGAAAAGGTTTAACCGGTGACGCGGTGGGCCCTCATTGTCTTGCACTTACGGCGAACAACGAAAATCTTGGATGTGGCACACACGGATTCTGTTCTCAAATGCCTTGAGTTACAATTACCAGATTAGAAGAATAAAATGAGTGCTACCTGGACAGATAGAAGATTTCAAGCAAATACTTAGAAATAGTTATTTGTTATGCAAGGCTGCGAAGTTGTCGTTTGACGCGAGAGCTTGCATTGAATCCAGAGCGTAACGAGGGTTTCAAGCCACGAGACGCGAAACAATTTTGCTGCCGAGCGAAACACACAACTTTTCACACAATGGTAGGTGGAAGAAAAACAGTTGAACTATATATATCAGTTTTTTTTAATCAAAAGAAAAGTTTATCTTCGGATGCATTCTCAATTTGCATCTCATCAATTTTTATTCTTGCTTGTACTTATAATTTTGTGTGATTATTGAAATTATTTTACTTCTTCGATGAATTAAAATAATTTAATGAACAAAATTAATTATCATTAACAATTTAATTTTAACAATAAAAAGAATAAAATATATGACTGCCTCTGTGGCCGAATGGTTGCCGTGACTACACGGACTGCCACGCAGAGGTCCCAGGTTCCATTCCCTGGCCGGTAGAAATATTTGTATGGCCTACATTTATTTCTCTCGTGGTTTTGGTGTAATTTGTCGTTGTCTATGTGTGTGTCCATGGCACCCGCGACACAGGGTTTCCCTAGTACGGGGCCATGTTGAATGTGTGCATTGTTGTTATTATTATTATTATATCTATTTTAGACTCTCGCCTCTCCTAAAGCCTAAAATATTAACTTTGAATTTTTAAATGGGAGAGGCGGTATTTCTCGGCAATGGCACAGTCGGCCGGGGCAGGGACTCAGGTTCAAGAACCGGCGAACAATACGCGTCGTGTCGAGCAGGATCGCCTTCTGCATTATTATTACTATTACTGTCGTTGTCGCTGTCGCTGTCGCCGTCGCCGTCGCTGTCGCCGTCGCCGTCGCCGTCGCCGTCGCCGTCGCCGTCGCCGTCGCCGTCGCCGTCGCCGTCGCCGTCGCTGTCGCTGTTTCTGTTTCTTTTACTATTGCTATTGCCATTGCTATTGCTATTGCGATTAGTATATTATCGTTATTGTCGTTATTGTCGCTATTGTCGTTATTGTCGTTATTGTCGTTATTGTCGTTATTATCGTTATTATCGTTATTATTGTTATTATTGTTATTATTATTATTGTTATTATTATTATTATTATTATTATGTTTATTATAAACTCTCGCCTCTCCCAAGGCCTAAAAGACTAATTTTG